TAATACAAAGACTTTCCAGTGGACGGTAAAATAAAATCTTTTTACAAATCAATAACATTTATTGTTGCGTTTCATGTTAACATGTTACGACAACTCCACTTTCCAGTAAATTCAATTAATGGCAAACATGAGAAAATACCATCTGAAACTTTTCAACCTATTTAATATAGCCAATAACAACATCCACTCAACTTTTAAACTAAAGAAAAAACTTGATTGACGTTTGGAATTGATTTCTTTAATGGAAAAATGAAAAAACTTTTCAACCTATTTAATATAGCCAATAACAATATCCACTCAACTTTTAAACTAAAGAAAAACTTGATTGACGTTTGGAATTGATTTCTTTAATGGAAAAATGAAATCCAGGTACTATCTCAAGTTTTATTAAAGACACCCACATTGTACGCAGTCGATTACAGCACAGGTTACCGGAACGTTAGGGAAAAACGGTGGGGCAAGGAGTCATGCAACTTCACAGATGGTTGGCTCACTGAGAAGTAGAGGCAAAGTGAGTATATGAAATCATTGTTCTTGTTTGTTTGTTTTCTGCTTTGTTTTTTCTTCATTTTCCGCCACTGTAACCTTCTCGTTATATTTGATTGAGAAAGACGTATTCAAAGATTTCTTTTTAACTACAGCCGTGTGTAACACCAAAAGCAGCATATCAGAATAAATAAGAAGAGACTTTTGTTACGCGAAATGTGGTCAGAAGTCAGGAGATCTTTTTCTTAGCACTTCCTACGCATCTTTGGTGTGTGCCGTTTAGTTCAAGAAACTATGGTGAAACAAAGGCTTCCCACTTGATCGCCTGATGTAGAAGTGAACCAAAAGTGAGTTAATATTTGTTCCCGTTTTTGTTTGAGTTCTCCAGATTAAAAGATCACTTTATCTAGGCGCTTTTAGAAAGGATAAATGGCGGAACGACTGATTCTCCAATTAAGGCAAATAGCCGATTTCTATCGCACCTGCATTTTCTATTGTCTTGAAACTAAAATTTTGAAGTCAAATTTCAAGTCAAATCGCTTTAGTAACAACTTAATTTATCGTCTTAGCAGATTACTCTAAAGACCTCGTTCGTCGTTTATCGTTTTTTAGTAACATCCCTCCAGAACATCACATATTGTTCCGTTGTTTACGTTAGTAAGCATAGTCATGCTGATACTGATTTATAAATGACATATCAGGCAGTCATATAGCATGTGCTACACTGTTGAGAATGAGGATTCAAGAACGATTTTTCATGACTTGAAAAATGAAAAAAAGAAAAATGAAAAACAGCACAGTTTGAGTTTAGTGAAGAGTATGAACGCGACCTCTCAGTATCAATGAAATTAAGCGTTTGATCCTTTGAGTTTGGCGGGAGGTCCAATAATTCAGTGCGACATCGTTTGGTCGCATCGCTTTTCATGTTGCGATGTTTTCGTTTCAGCGAAGAATGTGGTGGAAGGAAGAACTACCGTGTTTGACGAATGTATGGTATTGATGACCAACAGACCCGGACCTCTGGTCAGAGAAAGCATCTCGCGTTGGAGGAAAAGGAAAATTAAAGGAACATGTAAGAATATTGTATGTATAATGTCCAAGTAAACTCTCTGCACACTTGACAACGTAACACAAGTGAACAGAGTCATTGCATAAAAGGCATTGGTGTAGACCTTTTGGGTTTGTAGAATGATCAAAAATGAAATATTGATATTCTTCTCAGAAATTGTTGTAGATAATCGGCCACAATTTTATGACGTTCTTTCTCGACAGAAAGCATAATGAGTGGTAAAGCGAAATCAGAGTAGGCCTTAAATCAGTTTGGACTAAAAGGCCTTTTGATAGTTTCTGTCTCTATGTAAAGCTGAATGCCAACTATTTTATAGCTGCAAAGGTTACTAATTATTTTGTTAGTTGATTATGTCCTATCTCGCAATCTAAGTGACTCAAGACTAGCAGCGTAAATCTCAGAAGTTAAGTGACACCCCAATCGAAGTGCAAGAGAAGAGGATAGAGACCCTCTCTAGGGTTCTCGTTGTGATTGGATATTTTGCAAGAGAATATCAATTGTTAACTGCTGAACACAGCTGTTAAGGTATCATTCAACCGACAGAAAGAACACTTATGATACTCCTACAAACCCAACCACCTTACCAAACAACGTGTAATATTCTTACCAAGAAGAGACTCTTAAAAGCAGTATAGTAAATATCCTTAGTAAACTTACCTTATCCCACTACAGACTACAACTTAGCTCACCAATGACAATCTTTGTATTAGGGGTGGACTCGTGATGTCGTTTCGAATGGCAAATTTGACAAAGTTCGACATTTGCAGAAATGGTAAGATAAAACTCATTTTATTCTCAGTAAAAACCTTTAAAAAAAATAATATATAAAAATTTCGGTGAATTCATTTTGCAAAGCTGCGATCACCCCCCGCCGCCGCCCGCCCCTCCATTTCACCCCCTCTCCTATGTATGCTGAAGCATCATTTTGCCTCAAAAAACAAACTAACGTTAGGGAATATTGTTACGGGAAAATTTACTGATTTTCCCGTGTGTGTTATTCGGAGCATATTTATTCGTAAACTTTCACATTTAACCATTTCAAGTCCTTTCATTTCAATAAATCAAAAAATGCATAAAAATCACAGTAGCTTTTGAATAGATTTTTGTTGTTACTCGCTTTCATCATATGCACCTGCTTGTCGGCACTTTTGTCATCTAGTACATGGGTTTTTTTTAGGTAAATATAGGTGCTAATGGTCTTTCTGGAAACATTGGTTTTCATGGTAGATGGCAGCTGAGTTTAAACGCGTAAATCTAATTTCTTTTCATGCGATAGTTTCCAAACCAATCTTGCGTAAATAAGCAGAAACTTTTAATTGCTTTTCCGTTTTTTATTTCCTGAGCTGCGCTACTGCAATTAAGATAGGTATTGTTTTCTATATCAGAGCTGTAAATTCGCACCTAGGTTTCCTACTTTAATGGCCTAGAGTTTATTGCATCTGTCTTTTTAATTTTGAGATACTTTCCGTCGTAGAAACAGATGGAATAATTAAGTAGTTTTCGTTTAACTTCAAAGAGACTTTTTTCCGCTCCTTTGTGTCCTTACTCAAATATTGCGATTTGTGTAACAATAGCACTTCGCACCAGTTACTTCTTAAGCAAGTACCTTGTACAGCTTTGATGATTACAAACTAGAGTATGCTAGAGGTCATGTCGCTTGTTGGCCTGACCTAGAATAAAAGTACTGTGGAACCAAAGATTGTCTTATCCTTGACGTCTGTGCAAGCTTACTAGAAGTAGGTCTCCGTGTACCAGGAAATCGTGACGAGTTTCCGTTCTCGCTGCCAAGTCGTCTCTACAGAGTTAGTTCCCCCTGTTGTTATTGTTCCGTCGCGAAGATTCAGTCCTCCAGTTTTGGGGGCGAAAACTTTATCGTCACCATATTTCCAAACAGACGCAAAAATCTCCTTCATTTCAATGTTAAGACTATTCCTCAGGTATCCTCTACTCCAGACTGAAAGAGCGTTATTTTCATATTAGGTACTGTTTCTAGTGCAATTATTTATATCAGCTGAGGAAAGAAGGGTTTTGACCAAAAGGTAACCTAGTTTATAATTATGTAAGATTGATGGACTCTTAACTTAACCTCTACTGAGAGTGTCAGGAGAACATGGTCTCTTGGATGTAAGTCCCCTGAAACACGTACAAGTGATTTTTTGCACTTCCGGAAGCTATGTTACTTTGGTTTGGTTTTGTCCTTCCTTCAAAGGAGAGATCTACAGAGATGGGTCAAGATATATTAGATCAATGTCGTGGAGAGAAATATGTGAACTCGCGTACGGCATCATCATGCAGATAGAGTCAACTCAGAACTTTTCAACACTTTTATTATGTAAAAAAAATTAAAGTTATTACATTAGCAACGTATCCAAGAAAAAAAGACTTCAACTCGTACCTACGACCAGTTTCGTTGAGTAATAGTATCTAGTACGCGAAAACTATCGGCCTGTTAGGCCAAACAACAAACTTTCTTGCAGAAGTAATGTGCCAAGTATAATTTTGATTAGAATTCCGTATAAAAGTATTTCGAGTTGGTATCGCAAGTAAAGGCAGTCTTTGGGGAAGCAATTTATGCGCACGATTAGCTTTCCTAAAAACAAGCGGGTTTTGCGACAAAATTTTTTAGCAATTTATTAAAATTGTACACAACTATGGCTTTCAGAGCGAGATCTCTTCATCACCTCAGAATTGAGCCAGAAAATAAACTGAACTCAAAGGCTTGTGTCAAGGCATATATGTAAGTACTTAATATGTTAAAGAGAAAATGAGATTAAACTTTATTGGTAAACTTATAAAAGCGTTTCAGCGTTTAAGAATATGAAGTCAATTGAATTACAGTGTTACAGCCTAACTGCTAAACGCAACATGGCTATTTCTACCAAGTAAGCGTGTAAGAAAACGATGATTAATCCCTGAAACTTGTGTAGGCGAAGTGTTCAAAATATTAGCAGGTCATACACCGTAGACGTGTATCTAACTATAACGTTAAATCCTCGACGTTTGTATACAATTGCTTGTCGTACATATTCATGTCAATTAGCTTCTGCAGAGAAAAATAATATAATAATCAGTACCATTAAAAAAGTTTTAAGTGGTTATCCTCATGAGTGGTCAGGTTTTCACACCAAAAAAAATTCAAGGAGGAAGTGTTTTATAGCGTCGTCGTCTGCTACTCTTTGTGTGTCTCAATGCAGTTTTGCAATCATCCTATGATCTTTTAAATAACCATCAAGTGTTAATTGTCATTGAGACATTCAAGTTCGTTTCTTTGATGTTTTTCGTGGAGTGCTAGCTTCAGTGACATAACAAAAAGATGCATTCCAAACTTCGTAAAAAGTACAGAGATGAGTACATATTACTACGCTATTTAGGCTCAATGCTATTACGTTTAACCCTAATTAGCTATGCCAAGGCCAGTCGATCTTACGTGAAAAAAAAAAACTTTCATATTGATAAAAATTCTGACCTTGTGTAGGGTTTCCATGTCCTTAAGCTGATTTTTCAATTCAGTGAAAGTTGGTCTTGTGTCTGGGTCATTCTTCCAGCATTTCATCATGATCTGATACCTGGTATTATTCAAATAATCTGTTAAAGATTTAAAGAATGTTTCCTTGTACGACGAGGGAGAACAAGTAAATAAAGAAAACTTACAATTTTTCATCGACGTGTTGTGGTTTAGGCATCCTGTATCCATCCTGGAGTAAGTTTGCAATTTTTCTTCCATCCATTCGTGGGTAAGGTGAACCGCCTGGAAGAACCACAAGACCATCGAAATATAAATGTGACAAAAAACGACCTTCAATGAAACACCACCTTTGTCACTAGATGTAGTTTGAAGCTCATTACGTTTGTCAAACTGAACACGATACATTGTTTAATTAAACATGGTATAAAGCAAAAAACATCTACAGAGCCTTATAAAATTCCATTCCATGTTACCTATGGTGAAAATCTCGTATAACAGAACTCCATAACTCCATCTGCAGAAAGAAAATCAAACGAATATAAATTAAGTGACTATAGACATAAACAGTATATACCACGAATAAAATATATGTATTCTTTGACAAAGCATCACTAGAATTCAAGTCCTGATTAAAATTGATAAAATTTTTGATAAACTGCTACGGGTTATAATCAGGTATACTTACACGTCACTTTTGGTGGTATATTTACCATACAATAAGGCCTCATAAGCTGTCCACTTCACTGGAAGACGGCCCTAAAGATTTTAAATATCACTTTGTGAAACGGCTCGCGAATTATTGGAAGCGAGTAGTCAAAAATAGTGATATTTAAAATTGTACTCGTAAACGCATGGTTGATAGTTTCATTGGGGTCCCAAGGAATTCATGATCGAAATCAGGAATAAATCAGCTTTACCACAACAATGATTGTGAAAGATCACTAAACTGAACGATATGTAATACCGCCCTCACCTCCCCTTTTTCTTGATTACCTTTGTCTTTCGTTCATAAATATTTTCCTGCTGCACATCTCTGGCCATTCCGAAGTCTGTCACTTTACACGTTTCCTTTTGTCCAACCAACACATTACGGGCCGCAAGGTCTCGGTGAATGATCTATGAAAGCATTGATGTAACAGCAAAAATTAGCGATTGTAGAAGAAAAAGAACTGAAATGAAATGGTTCAGAGAGGAAAATAGAAATATCTAGCAACATAATATGGTGTGTGCATTTCTCTTTCTTCCAGCTGGCAGAGAGTGAAAACTACTACAATATCTGCTCCATATTCCAAAGAGAAGCAAACTACTTTATTTCTGCAATACGTATTTATTTTATGTAACGCTTATCTTAACATTTTAATCGAAATAGGATTCTGTAATGAAGCAGTTTAGCAACCAGAGACGAATTTCTTAATTTGAGGTTTTAATTCCTTTTCTTCCTTGTCACTAAAATGGATATTTGTTGTACGCTCAGTTTAAGATGAATATCTTAAAAGATCCTATTCATTCACGTCTCTGCCTTTGCCCACACGAGAAAAACCCAGATATTTTATTTCGATGGGGTGCACTTGCAACGATGCACAAATATCGCCATTCTCACAATGAAATAAAACTTAGATAATAACGTCAAAATTGTGAGGGTTCCCGGCCCTAAAGAAATAACCTCGACAAGACGGTAAGAATGCGTCTGCATCTCCCAGGCGTGATCTTGAGAAGACATAATATTCCATGCAAGACAGAGCTTAACATGACGATAGACCTCACGAGAAGGTTTTAGAATTGTTTGTCTTTTGTGTTTTTAACTAACTTACAGATTTTGCGGACAAGTAACTCATTCCATCAGCAATTTGCCAAGCAAACTTCATCAGCTGCTGTGACGTCAGATTTGTTTGTGGTTTGATATCCGGGTCTTTGTAGTAAGTGTCTTTTAATCCACGGCTCTTTCTCAGGTAACCCAGCAGATCCCCAAAAGGCACATATTCAATCAAAACCAACAGCTGTTCTGAAGAAATTAAACAATTTAATTGATATGTTACTTTCTTATAAAAAAAAAGCGGTAATTGAAATAGATGAATAGCCCAGTCATGGTCAACACTTTTGAAGAAATCGCATGAAAACAAGAAAAACTATGCGACGGTCTCATAAGAAAGTACAGACTAATTATTCCCTTACAAAAAGCGTTTCTGCTTCTACAACAGAATGATCTGTTCAGTGGCAAATATTCGGTCTTATACCCCATTCACACCAGCAAAACATGTTTTGTTCAACTGGTTTTCATTGAATGAAAATTATAAACAGAGCACTGAAAAACTTGATTTTCCATTGGATTCAAGTACTTGCTAACTTGCATTTCCAATGTGCTACATTCAAGTCAAAAATATTCGGTTAAATAGTTTCTAAAAAGAAAAAAAAAATTAAACTGTGTTTAACAAAACAACTTTTAAACATGTTTAAGCTTTGGTGTGAATGCGGCATTAGTCTATCAGTAAATCCAGGAACGTCTGTGTTGGCTTAAATAAGATAAAATTACCTTATGCGATGGTTGTTTGTTTTGCTCAATTGCGAAGCGGTCACCCTTCCACTGAGGCAAATTATCAATGACGAGAAAGCGTTACAGAGTAAATCATAAGAAAAATGTGTACAGCAAAATTAGACCCGCATAACCAAAGCATACCAGATTCAGTAACACATCCCAGAAGTTTAATGACGTGAGGATGTGGTTTTAGCTGTTTCATTGTGTCAAGTTCTTTCATCAGATCTCTCTTGTCCGATTCAGCAGCGTTTGCTGGAGCATTAAAAACAAGAAGTAAAATTTGGTTAACGGGAATAATATGCGAAATGTCGGAATAACAACATAACTTATGAAATGGCAAATAGCTAAATAATTACAGTAACCCGGTAACATTTCCTGAATGTCTGTAGGCCAAGACTCATTCAATTTACAGTACAATAGCTCACTTTTAAGCATCTTAATAGCCACTGTAGTCGTTTCAGGACTCCCTCGAAGTCCTACTGCTGTTCCCTTGGCAACCTGACCAAAAGCACCTTTACCAATGATTTTTTCTATGGTCACGTTATGTCTAGGAACTTCCCAGCAGCGTGTTAATGGATGAAGAGGCACGTAATCAGCACCTGGAGGGGTACTTTGTGCTTTTCTATCATCTTTGTTGACTTCTATGAGATCCATGTATTCTGCATGAGGCTGGGTGAGTTTTCTTGAATCAGGTAGACTTGGTTCGATATCTTCTAATAATGTTTCATTCTATTAAACCAACACACTGTTAAGGTATTCATATCCAAATCTGTTATTAATCCAAGTAAAAAGTGCCTCATGGTTATAAAAATCAGTTCACCCATTTATATCAGACAAATGTTTATATTCTTCCATGATAAGAGATTATAAATAGTTTATAACCTCTTGTCCTTATTATTACTAACATTTTGTTCTCTGCTTTTGAAACTATCATGTCCAATAGAGTGATCGAGGCTCATAGCATATTCGTCGAAGCTACAAACTGCAACGTGAAGATTGTCGATTGGTAGTCCAATATTTTGACAAATAAACGCACGAAACAACTCTTGCAGTACCTAAACTCACGTTTAGAAAATAAGGCATCAAGAAAATACGACGGCCAAAATGCACGAAATTTATTATTTAGAAAGCAAATATCAACCGGGTGCAGACCAATTAGCGATCTGATGCAATATGCTTTTTTTAAGTAGAAGTACACATTTTTTCCTTCTCATTTGCTGCAAGCGTTTATTTTCTCATAGAAAGTAGAGGTAAAGTAAGATTACATAATTTCTGGTCACACTAACATGACCTCAATGTCTTAGCTGTAACTTACGTCGCAAACACGTCTCTCATCTTCATAAGTCCTACAATTGAGAAAGCATAGAAATAATTATAAAACGCTAAGAATTTCATCAGTTTTTATTGGAGTTTTGTGTTAAGATGAAACCATGTCGGGCACATTACATCGACACAATCCAACTGGCAGAAAATTCTTACCTCTGTTTCCCTACAGCACCTGAAAAAGAACGAAAGGAAAAAATACAAATGATGTAAACGTGAGTAAAAATTTGCTTTTGCGTGAAAAAGAATCTTGCAGCCAAACATAGATTATGATTCTTTTACCTACCTTTCTTATGCAGCCAGATTATGTAAATAATTAGAAGAAGGACTGTGAAGGCAAGAACCCCAATTACGGCCAACAAGACGTTGTTGGATGGGCAGTTACATTCCTCAGGACCTAAAATGATTCATTTTGCAAAGCTTGATGAAATAACATTCAAACAACATTTACACTGATCCTGGTCGATACACTGCTCTCTCTACATAGCTGAGGTTCATGACCGGAAAACGTTAACTCTAATTGGCTTGGTACGAAGGAAGAGTAAGGTGCTACTCTCTCTAAAATAATTTTTAAGAGTAAGACTTTGTTTAATTAAATAAAACAACAACGAAAAAAACAAAAACTTGGAAGTGTATCAGTCACAGAATAAGTTGTTTAATTAAATAGATACGGAATACAATTATAAACAGTCCATCTTCGGAAGAATACGTGTAAACATTGAACAATGTCTTTGTAAAATTTACCTTTTGTTGTGCTTTCCGAGCCATCTGTGGGTATTAAAACTTGTTTAATTGAGTCTGGATTGACTTTAAAACCTCTGAATTTGTCTTGCCTTGCAGCATCCGACAGGACAATCAAAACATTGCTGACGACTACAGTTTGATTGAACCTCATCAAAAAGTCAAGAACAACACTGCCACACCTAGATAAGGGGGGTGGGGGAGGGAGAGAGAGAGAGCAGAGAGTATCATCGCACACATTCGTACTTTGGTGATTTTTAAGTGTTAAAATATATTGAGATTTAACCAATGTATTAAACCAAGGTAAATAAAGACAATATTAAAGACAATATACTTCAAACATAAATTATCTTGTATTAAATAAGATTTGCTAGAGCAGAAATAAACACTTTTACAGCTAAAATACAACACATTGAAATAAAGCTCTTCTCCCCTACTAGAAGGCAAATTTGAGTTTGCATTTGTTGTTTCAGTATAGAACAACAAACTGTACCTTACCTGGTGTTCACAGTGTTGGCGGATGAGCAGCCAAACCTAAAGGCAATTTGACAAGCCTAAAAGGACATATCAAGAAAAAACGTACATTAAAATGCTTGTCACATATTGAAGATCGTTCAGAATATCTTATTTTTTTTAACAGAAATATTAAGATTTGATTCAAGAACAGATTGATCAAGATTCACTTTTCATGATAAATCTCATGGCAGTATTCCTTAAACTCCAGTATATGGATCAAGTAGATTATCTCACCATTTCTGGAAATTTCGCAGCAACTTCTGAACGTCTGCTACAGTTCTCCTGTATTGTCGCTGTCAGGTAAACTTCTGTGCTTACTGTTTGAACTGGGGAAAAACAAAATACGACTTAAAATGAACGTTTGTTTGTTTGTTTGCACAAGAATTATCATTTGAACTCATGTATAAAGCCTTTACTTAAAAAGAACACTGGCATAAAATGTACGAGTGGGAGGCCAATTTGAGACATATTGTTTTTCTTGTATTTTGCGTCACGATGGTGTTCTCAGAATCGTTCCCCAAGTCGTCTTCCTTTTCGCCGAAGTATAAATTTTTGAAATAACCGCAAGTTATGAAATAGATGACATTGATGGTGGCAGTCTCAACATTATTTATGAAAGGAAAAGTTTTGTGTTATGCACGCGAGGTTAAAGCCTCGGGTTGATCATTTATTTACAAAGTATTTCTGACCAATAGGCAATAGGCCACTTCTGAGTTCTCGCGGTTCAGTAATCTGTTGTCGAAATTACGGCGCGTAGAGGAGGGTAAGTGCGAAGTCGCTCTCATTGGTATGAAGAATGGAGTGCAGTGGTGGTGAAATGAGAGAAAATGATTGAAATCTCAGTTACTAGATATGCCATATCTTTGCAATTGGCACACATATATCTGCTGCGACGTAAGTGAAATTTTTCATATTGATTCAGGTTTTTTGCAAGCGAAGAATTCACCCGTAAAAACCTCGATATTCGTGACACGGAGAGTGCTTGAAAACTAAGTAAAGAAAAGATAACCTTTGAAAGGCGAAAATAAGATTCATTTGAACATACTACCTTCTGCCTTGACTTGCTGGATATTTGCTTTCTCCTGTTTTAGGCTTTCACCAAGCTCATTAGTTGCAGTAATGGCAAACTGATACACCTTTCCTTTCTCCAACGCTATTTTCAATTCTCTCGTAGAAACATCTCTGATTTTCCTTATTTCTGTCCATTGTCCCACTTTCCCATCAGTTACTACTCTTTGGTACACTGTATACATGGTGATAACTTTTCCATTACTTTCTGGCTCCTTCCACTTTAGGGTAATTGTATCGTCTGTTGTTTCATCTGGCAGTTGGTCTATTTCGACCACATCTGGGGCTCCTAGATTGATGTCAACACCACGGACAGCGTGAAATTTCTAATAATTATACAACTTCTTGATAATAACCTGGTCACAACCATTATCAGTGATAAGATAATCGGTAAATTGGTCGAGGATTTTTTGGGATATTTTTTAAACGAATGTGTATTGCAAGTAATTTAAGTAATTTAAAATAATTTGAATAGACAAAAAGTGATAATGAGAAGCCTAAAATGATGGTCGGTTGTAACTTAAAACAAATAGTGATTTGTTTAGCTACTTTCATATAATCAATTGAAGTACCGATGCATTCATTTGTGTTACGTAATTACAGAAAGTTTGACATCGCGCATGACTTAGTAAAGGCACTCGGTCATGACACGGTGGAAAAATGAGTGCGCATGCTCCGCTTCTCGAGCCATTCGAGTTTCTTCTTCTTATCGGTTTTTCCGCCGATAAAACAAACTTTTCTCTCCAGGGGGTTTGCCAACTGAGGAGGCAATGACAAGAAGCGCAAAAGCGATAACAGGTACTTTTCAATTCTGTGCGACGAAGTGACTGACAACACCAAACTTGAGCAGCTTTCATTTGTCTTTAGGTTCGTTAACAGACTCTAAAATTCGCGAAGAGTTTTTAGACTTCCAGTTACGGAAAGAATAACTGGAGAGGTGATCGCGCAATTGATCCTAGGAAAACTCGAGCAGTTGGGCCTGGATATTTCCCACTACCGGGGGCAAGATTACGATAGTGCCTCAAACATGTCCTCCCAAGCTAGAGGTATACAAGGCTTTATTTCCAGGAAAACTTCAAAGCCTTGTGCGTACACTGCAATTCGCATGTTCTTAATCTCGTTATCGTAAAGGCATGTAGCTTGCCATTAGTTCCCAACATGGCTGGCACAATTACAGAATGTGCAAACTTTTTAATTACTCCCCTAAGCGGCTGAGGTGCTTGAAAAAAGTGATAAGCCTAGATCAGCCAGAGTCTCAAGGAACCAAGATTAGCGACCCTTGCCATACTCGTTGGGTGGAGCATCACGAGGCGCATGAAACTTTTGTTCAGTTACTTCCATCAGTAGTTAAAACGTTTGAGGTTATTTTAGATGAACAACAGCATCAACAATACAGCTCTGATACGTCTTGGAACTGTGATAGAAACCCTCCAAAGAGTAAACGGCTGCTACCATACCTGGTGTTTTTTCCAGTTCCTCATGTCCTTGACGGTCACGATGAAAATTCTGGCATTCATAAAGACGATTGACGTAAAGCTACAAAAAAGTCCAATGACATTGTTAAAGCCTACAACATGATTTCGGAGACAGAGAAGAAGTTGAAACAATTGCGAGACAAGAATGATGTTGTCTTCAAAAGACGGTACGCATATACTGTGGAGATCAGTTCAGAGCTGGGAACAGAACCAAGTGCTCCTAGGACGGCGTCAAGACAACAACATAGGGCAAATGCACCCCATGACACAGCTGAGGAATATTACCGTCGCAATCTGTACATTCCATTCCTTGACCATATCACACAAGAAATGTCTTTAAGGTAATCTATATAAATTATCAACCTTTCGGCTGTTTACTTAACCATAAATATTTAGAGAAATAATGCATGATCGAGCAAACAGGTTCATTCATCACAGGAATTTTTTTTTCAGATTTGGGTCCACTCAGAAGACTGCTATGCAATTGCTTCGTCTTATGCCAAGCACCACGGTAGCGTGCACAATTGTAGACCTAGTTGAAGTCTCCGAGATGTATATGTCAGATATCCCAAGCCCACAGACTCTCGACATTGAATATGATCGTTGGATGAGAAGATAGCAATCCGAGACGGACAAACCAGACGCGCTTCAACCTGCCTTACATGTTGAAGCACGTCTTGCGTCGTGCATCGTTGAAGCGCGAAGTAACTCAGTTTGTTTTTGTTTAAATTTCGCTTAGGTTAACAAATGACAGCTTTATTGACTACACTTTTTGTCGATCTACAGGCTTGTGATCCCAACATCTTTCCGAACATCCACATCTGTTGTTGCGAATAGCATGTACAATTCCAGTAACATCAGCTGATAACGAGCGCTCAAACAGCACTCAACTAGTCAAGGGCTACCTTCGGACCACGATGACAACCGAGAGACTTTCTGGCCTGGCTTTAATGAGTATTGAATATGAAAAGCCCTTCGATTACTATGCTATAGTTCAGAAATTTGCCGAACAACAACCTCGTAGGATGTTACTCGTTGATCCCATTTTTGAGGAATCTTAAGTATGACCTTTTAGAACACATTAAATAGCGAAGAAAAATATATTACTGTGATTTTAGTTTCATTTTCTAGGGGTCAGTTGATCTCGATTACTGTCAAGACCAAAACGTAGTCCTTGTTTCATAAAATAGCTTTCATAAGAGATGGTTAAGGTATTTTAAAAACCGTCCACCATCATCCCTCAAAACGCTGGAAATCGCATTTCAAAACTTCCCGGGGGAGCATGCCCCCTGTGGACCCCCCCCAGATGGGTCCGCCTTCGGCTACCCATTTGTTCGAAGCCCCCTTTTCGAAATTCTGGATCCACTCCAATACTGCAAAATGGGTAGTTGGTTGTTGGGTGTTCTGAATATATAAAGGGGAAAGTTTCTAAAGAAACTGTGGTGCTGCGTCGGTGGGAGAGTATAGCAGGTAATTTAGTGTTAACTACTGAGTTGAAAACGTAAATTAGCCACCGTGAAGGGAAAAAAAGCTGACGTTTCGAGCGTTAGCCCTTCGTCAGAGCGATTGATACCTGTTCTGAATATAGCCGGTAAGCGTTTAGGAAAACTGTATCCAACTAACGTAAAGGTCACTATCTAGCGTTTTTTGTTGTTATTAGTTTATATCAAAAGATTTAGAGACGTGAACATAAAAAAAACACCACAAGGCAAACAATTCTTGATAAAACAGGTAGCATTTACAAAACGCAACCGCATGGGTTGTCTCTTGTTCTCACCTACGTTTACCTGTGGTTTAGTGATACGCTTCTTCATAAGTAGGTACCTCTCAAATAAATATTAGAGAGGGAGAGGAAAATGGCCATTATGGGGGGGACTTAAAATCAAAAATCTTAAAATACGGCGAGCAGATAAGATGGTAAAACTGGGACCACTCACAACAAATCTAAGTTGGTAACAAAACGGTTGGTGCTAAGTGCTCAATCACGATATCACCTCTGATTCCTTACCTTCAAGCTTGGTCTTAATCGTCCTTACAGTAGGATCTCCCTCGAATACGAAATTTCTGGGAAACAGTTTCACTGTGTAGTTGGTATTTTTCTCCAAACCACGAAACGAGTAAGATGTCGTCCCAGGATTGGTGATAGCATCCTTTTCTAACTCAGTTTCACCCTTTTGTAAGATCAGTTGGTATCCTGTAATCGGACTTCCTCCATCATCAGCTGGTGCAGTCCATCGTATTGTTATAAAAGTTGCTTGAATGACTGATTCTGACGATTTGATGGATGCTTTCCCTGGTTTCTCTTTATAGTGCCATAAAAAAGGGATCATTTTGAGCAAAAGGAGAAAAAAAAAACCGGAGAATTTTTTTTCAGTGATTACTCCACAGTGAGTTTTGTTACAATACTTAGGATGAATGCAAGTCCTTGTATTAATAAAGTTTAATGAATAACATGTAGCTACTGGATAAATTCAGCCAAGAGCTTAAGAAAACGAGGAAAAATTAAGTTTCCATGGTTGAGGAAGTTTCCTATGGTTACTCGCATTGGAAGATGTCGCCAATCTTCCTGAATTTCAACGCTCTTTTTTAACGTGTTTAATGCTACCAGCAGGCAGGGTGTCGTAAATTTACTGTTAATCGTTTTTACAAATATGGGTGCATTTTCCACTAAAAGATCAGGCTTACTATATCCGGCACAATTCCACTATTACGCTGTTATACCTCATTGGCGTAACGAACGTGAAATATATGTGAAGGTCTAATGCTGCTAAAGACGGGAAACGTCATTGGAACGCTCAGATAAGGCCGCAGGATGTATGTCGAAAACTAAGCGGCCAAGTTGTTAGCAAAATAAAGAATGATAAGTCCCTTACTCGATGGTGTAACATAAGCTTACATTTTTCCACACAACTATAGGCCTTGCAAAATATCCGCATATATTATATGTTAAACTATCAAATGTACAAAGTGAATGAGTTACTCTGTCGAGTACTTTGTAAGAAAATTTGGGTTTTACTTCTAATTCACCTGAAACAGTGATAATGAGCAAAGGCAAAAGAAAATGCTGACCTTATATACTTTTCTTCTTATCAAAATACACTGATCTTTTTTACTTACTTATCGGATTTATCTTTATTAACTCCTCATCAGGTGGAGTAAGTCCATTGGCAGCAATGCACTTGTAATGACCAAAATCTTGATCACCCCTGAGTGGCACCTGTACTTTGTTTTCTCTGGCTGTGACTCTGTTTATTTCACTTCCTTCAGGTTTGTACCAAGAGAGTGTTGGTGTAGGAACACCATCAGAAAGATACTTCAAAGTCACTGTCTGGCCAATCCAAGACTTCTTAGATGACGTGGTGACATTCTGAATTGTGGGCGGGTCTGAGAATAAATACCAATGCAATAAGCAATTGAATGAATAATTGGTAATACCTCATATCAATTAGAACGTTAATGAGCTTTATCATTCCACTGCTGTATCATTCGTGATTAAAGCGAGATATGAAGTACTCCTCGACCAATCAGAGTGCATGCATGTATATAATCACCAAAGCAATTATACTAAAACATATATCAATAGCCAGGAGGGTTACAAGTTTCTCGTTTTAAGAGATAAGAAGTATTTGGGGTGGAATTAAAAGAGGAAAAAAGAAGGGATTGTTTTTATACCATATGATAACAAGTTCCAAAGTTCAGCATTTCTAAAAATATGATTTCCTATAATGATCCTGATTATGTCCGTAAATTAAGTTGTCATTATTAATGTCGAATTTACGATGACATGGCTCAAAGTAAGCAAGTACATGTATTCCCATGTATACAACATGTACATGTATACAACAATAGACATAGGACCATTTCTGGACTTAAAAATAGGAGTAGGACCATTTCTGGACTTAAAAAATAGGAAAAAGTAGGTCCGATATTTCTCTAGACATTTACGTAAAATTTCGATTTCGATCTTGTTGCGATTTTTTTTTTCTTTTACAGGAAATGTTTTTTATATGTGGTATATATCCATGAAAGTATGTTCGGTGTAATTTTGATAAGTGACTTTAAAATCTAGAAATCACGTTACCATTCATGCTTGGTTTTTATCTGCTCCTGACAACAAAGGTCGAGTGCCTGCCCATACGCAAACACCGAAACAATTAAGTATCTCAAAGAGCAGAGCGGCATAGTGCTTGCAGGTTACACAGCCTCTCAAACCAGAAAGTCATGGGAATCAATTACCCAGCAAAGCATTTGTGTTTCCTTTCCTTGTCTTTAGGTGAAAAAAAAGAGTGAAGGTTGTAATCACTCCACAGTACAGTCTGTCACTTTCGTGTTATTTGGCAGTCGAGTATTCAGTATAAGGTGGCAAGGCTTAGGAATAATGAAATATAAAATGGATTCTTGCCCTCAAATAGTATATTTCATCGAACACCACTCATACAAATATGCGCAAATCTTAGAATGCAGTTCAAGTTTCAGCCCATTTCCACACCAGCTGATCTCAGCTATCAGTAAAAAAAGAAATATGTAATTTCTCAGTTGACGGTTAGAATTTTGACCAATTCTCAGATTTCCACTAAGCCCCGACCAGAACCCTCACACAGAATCAGAATATGCACTAGCCTTGTGCGCTGGTCAAACGGAGCGAATTTTGGGTCGTCACAATGACTCGCAAATGGCTTTAAGTCATTTTCTGAGTTAAACACAGTCCAACTGAAGCAATGACTTGGTAAAAAAATGTCACGTTCTCCTAAGGAAAATAACGTGAGAAACAATTCCGCCTAAATTAAATTGTCCCAACCAATACTCGAAACTGATGCATGAGCCGAAAAGGATTTGAGGTGGAATCCTGTTTCCTTACTCTCTTGAAAAGATTCGTCAGTTTTGTGTAACTGACCCCAATGACAGGAGTTGCACTTTAAATAAAGTAAATTCAGAGATAGAAAATTAAGGTTAAAATATACTTACAGTGAACTATAATTGTTGTGTCAACAGAAGTGACTTCCACTGAGTTATTGGCACGACATGTGTATTGTCCTGCATCTGTTCTGTTTATATTATCAAACTTTAAAAACGAAGCTTTCTTCCCTGAACTTTCCAGTACTCCATTTCTAAACCATGCTACATCCGGCAGTGGTTTCCCAGAAGCTTCACAGGTTATGGTGACACGGGATCCTTCAATGTAATATTTTCCTCCCAAAGAGATGTTTATAAGTGGTGCCTCTGAAAGGTAAAAGTGATTATATCATTGCTCATATGGCTTAGCAAATTTTAGTTTAAAACCAACTAGTATAAGGAAGCTCAATCATCTTTCAATACAATTTTACTTGTTCACATGCAAAATTATAAATTTAAAGCAGAACTCTAGCCACGTGTATTAAGAGCTAATTCAGGAATTAACTTATTGGGCTAAGGATCCTGGCTTCTAAGCTACTCACACGTTTTTGGATAAATTTTTTGCTGTTGCACAAGCAAATAGAAGCATCGCTAATCAAGCCACACCTCACTTGAAACTTGGCCTGACAAAAGATCTACTGAAGACATCCTCAACCCAGAGAACTGAGATTTCAATGAAAGAGACACAATAGATTTTTCCGGATGAAAAGAATACACCAGTGGCATGCTGAATGCTGCTTGCCCATTACTTAAAGTTAAGAGAAGAACTTACTCATCTCCTTGTATAGTTCTTTTATGAAACATTAAATAATTTGATTGTTCATCATGATTGCTCCGCAAAGGGAGTTTGTAGAAGGGAGAGTTTCCGACATTTCCTCCCCATTTTGAAGAATTATACTCACAAATAAAACGTTCTTAAGCCCAAGTCAAGTGCAAAGAAAACGAATTAATTTCCTACATTAAAACTGGACTGTATGGAGACCACTGTTAACAATTTGTGTTAGAAGGTTTGAGTAAGAAATGCAAAAAAGACCTTGCAAACCAGAGTAGCTGGGAGAGCATTTGTGAAAGGAAGAAAATCCATTTAATTTTTTAATGACAGAGGTAAAAACTTGACGTTGAATAGTACTTGGTAACATATTATGTGCCAGTGTTAAAGGTTGAGGAAACTGTATGTAAAAAAATCCTTGACAATAGAGTGGTTTGCTCAAAAAGTTCCTAGATCTAAAGGTGGATAATACTACTTGTGTATCTTAAAATAGTTTCATCTCCCCACTTACCTATAATAGACTATATTAAACTTTGTTTAAATTTTACGAGCCACCAATTTGAAGAGCTTCCAACTGAAGATGTGACAAAGATATCACACAGATACATGTTAGTATACAGAAACTTAATGTACGATTACTTAACAGTACCAGAATTTTGGTGGGTCCAGATGTAGCTTGTCATCCAGTTAACAATATTAAAAAAATCTTGGAAGGAGTTATAGAAGAAACCAGGAACTATTATAGAATTCTATGTACTTTTATTTCGATTTATATTGACCTTTATTCAAGACTTAGATATGCTACCTCTGAAACATCCCCAAAAATCTGTTGGGTACAAGAGCCATAAGAGAGTTACATAGTAGGACATGTTTCACCATGTGTAGGTGTATGCTAGCTTGATCTATCCCACAATCCAAAACAAACCACTTTCATGCAAAACAAGCTAATGCTAAATGAAACTATCATCAAAGGATAATTAACTGAACTGAATTATCATTCAGTTGGAATACTGAAAATTCTCCTTTTTTCCATTTGTTTACAATAAATGATGCTGTATATGCCAGGGAGTAGATTTGACCCAATAAAACAAAGTTTCACCTCATTCAGAAAGTTGGGTAAACATTAACTCCAATTGCTTTCAAAGATCAAGAAGTCGCCTTTCAGACATGGATTGGCTTTGGGCTACATGAACCACATGCAAACAATGATTCATTTAGTCCCTTTTAAGCCATAAAACCTGGTATCCTGCTATCATAAGACAATTTGGAAAGAGAGGTAGTGTTACAGGTATTGCATTGCAGTTAAAATAAGCCCACAGACCTTAGCAAATGCGTAATTAAAATATTATGATGTAGAAAGTCACATGGTTCCAACTGAGTGACAAGGAAAGAAAGAAGATTATGTAATGGCTGTTAAGCACAAACAATTTGTATTCACTATAGTTGTAATGGACCAAAAACAAGTAAATGAATGGGGTAAATAGTGAGTTTGGATTTTTCACAATAAGTGAATTAAATCTTTTAAGTGAACGATCAGGTAAATTGTACATGAGTATTGATATCACACAAATGTTTTCAACTATGAATCACAGTCAAATGACAAAGAAGTTGAACATACTAAATATCACAGTCATTTTTATGTACTTATATATAATGTTGTTAGCACATCCAATATAATTTATTCAAAAATGAATGGTAAAACACTTGGAAAGAAAATTAAAAAAGTCTATTCAATGAACACTAGGCTTCTGTTTATACATGAAAAGTTTTTGAAAAGTTTAGGTTACATAAGGTCACAAAACGTTTCATACTCTAAATTGAAATTTAATACTTTTAGTCTCTTCTAGCTCTTTGTGGAATTCAGCCAGTTCCTCAGTGGAGCAACCAAAGTCAGCAATAAAATTGGAGCTGTTTAACTGACTGCCATGAATAACAGCATCTGCTAAGAACATCATTCCTACCTGGCCAACCTGATCATCATTAAATTATCTTCTGTTTGCATGCTTAGACTTCATTGGTTTATTGCTTTCATAACTTTGATAAAATTTTGCTCCATAATGCACAAATCTTGACTTGCTCCTTAGTGTCAGATATTACTAGAGGAAATCAGCATTCTGTAGACTAGATTTACATCTGCAAACCTTAAAGATCATAATCCTCAGAAAGCAGCAAATGACACTGTGCCAACTTTCATTGCCTTTGGCAAGTCTCGTTAAAAGGCTTGAAAAACAATACCATTTTTTTCACACCAAATTAATTTCACATGCTGCTTATGATTGGTCATGCAAAATTTTCCTTAATTGATTTAGGAAAATTGTACTACCCCACCAAATGGGTCGTTTCTGGTTCTGACTGACCATTTCTAATTGACAGCTTTGCTGAGACAAAATCTCTGTACCCATTTTAATAATAGTTATCTATGCATAACAGAGCAACCCAGTTGTTGGTGCCAGAAGAATAAAGCAATAAGTCTTTGATAACTCTTTTCTCTTTTTAGGAGTATGGTATCACATTCCAAGTAAAAGAAGCACCATTGTTCCCAAAGGTCGGGTTAGCCAGCCACTTTCAGCCCTGCATATAAGGGTTTGCACAAATTTAAGCTAGTTTACTTTCTCCAGATCTCAAGAAATATGAGAGACATGAGTTGAATGCATTTGATTTATGTTTGATGATTAATGTTTATGTCTGTATTACATACCTGCCACAATAAGCTGCACTACACTTCTATAAGTCCTTAAGCCTCTCTCCAATTCACACTTAAATTTGGTATTGTCTGCGGGGTTAATGTTCTTGATAACAAGGGTAGCTCTTCCTTCAATTTTAACTCTTCCTTTGTAAGATCGAGGAATTGAAGAATGTTCTTGCACACCATGACTGTCATTAACCAACATTGTGACAAATACATCATGTACCAGAACACTATAGAAAATGCTCTGAATTTTATTATGTGGATCAGTGTAGTCCCACACCAGGTTGGCATCACTACCATTGTTAAAGTAGCTTGGATTATGAGGTTCCTGGGTGAAATGCACATCCAAACCCCCTAAAACAGATAACCATAAACATAATATTCCAGAGACCTTTAATTACATGTACATGTGTAAGGATAATATTTAAGAAGAATGGCTTATAAAGATTTCACCATAGAGGTAAGGAGTAACAAAATATAACTGTAAATATACACTACATTCGTATTCACTTGTATCAATCAGCTCGAAATATACTCTCACTTCTTAAGAAGTAAGGTTCAATAACAGTAATGCACATCTGTGCCTTTTGAAAATCACATTTGACAAGTTCCACTTTCTTTAATTTCCAAAATGTGTACAGTGGTGAATTTCAATTTCAAGTTGGAAAATGGAAAGTTGAAATGTCCACAAATATTACATTTTAAACTATCGAACAAGGGATTTATCATTCCACTCATTTAATTTTTCTTCTTTTTTAATTGGCTTCTAGTCTTTAAAAAGTTGTATGGTCTTATCTGAGCATCCTACTCAACATGTAAGATGTGTATAAGGCAATTCCACTATCGCGGATGTTACATTCAGACTCAGTTTTGAAACTTTAATTTGGCACAGACAAAGGATAAATAAGGAGTTGTCCAGTTTTCCATTAATGAACATGTTTGTGCCTACTGACATATTAATTGGGCTGTACAATTTTTCCATCTCACTGATTTCTGTGAAAGAAATAGAGCCAAAAAACACTGTTGCGGAAATTACATAAAAATCAACCACATTATCAAGTGCATTAGCATTAAGTCAAAATTCCTGTGAAAGATCAGGGTTTCTTATATGAACTGTTCCAAATATCTACAGTTAAGTGGTTGTGTGAACCAAAAGCTTTATTTCATTCAAACTGGCATTCAAAGTTTTACCAGGCTACTTGAACTTCAGCATCGCGGACGTTACAACCAATGTTGCGGACGTTACATTGTGTGAATCATTGTCAAGTATAGAAGATAAATCAGCTATTCTGTATTGTTCTTGGTCACAACATGGTTTTTAAATGAAAAAGCAGTGTGAAAGAAACACTTGAAAGACCTTCTGAAAGGCAAAGGTGACCTGTTAAGACAAGATGCAGTTTTCTTTCCCTACAATGATATTCAGAGTGAACATTGGTTCCTTGGAGTGATGTTTCCCCAGGAAATGTGCATTGCGGTGCTTGACAGCCTACCAGGGAAATTCATAAAGCCAACTGCGTTAAAACAAGTGGAAAAGATGGTGTCACTTCTTTTGAAAGTTGACCAGTCGATCGACATCGACCAGTGGTCTTTCTTTTCAAACAGGCCTTGTGAGATTCCACAACAGGACAATACCTATGACTGTGGTATTTTCACTTGTCTGTATGCAAGATGTTTGGCCAACAGATGCCAAATGATCCCTAAAACTGAAGTTCCAACATACAGGCAACTGATGATCCAAGAATTGCACCAGAAAAATCTATGCCCAATTCCACCACCAACTATTCAACCGAGGGAATACTGTGCAGTTGATTACATCAAAAACTATTATTTTGGCAGAGTAATAGACAAAAATGACAGTTTTGTCCAATTCAAGTTCCTGCACAGAGTTGGTGCAACTACTTATCATTGGCCGAGGCGAGACGATATGGACAGAGTCCACCTTTCAAATATTTTTGCTGGTCCTGTTACTGTTCCTCACTTTATTAGTGGACCATTTGAAATTCCAGAGCAACCAGCTGTGGAAAAACTCTTCAGAGTCATTAGGAAACATACAAGGGTTTAAGAGCCGTGAGAAATGACTATGTTCATCAGATTTTGGTAGAACCCCTTCTATTCTTGAAATGTCAAAATAGCAACCTTCTTGAAAGCTGTTGTTTGTTTCAAAATGTTTGTTAGGTGAAACTACAGCATATCTAGAAGAACCTATGGACTTATGGTGTAATATTTTGGCTTTTTAAAACCATTTCAAGTGTTGTAACTTGTGTTCAAGAAGTGTAACGTCCGTGACGTAAAGTCCGGAACAAAGTTTTGCTGCCATTATTTTGAAAATGTTGCAGTTTACTAGAGATTTCTTTTTACTAAATTGCTTCTATTGGATATCTAGCTGTGTGACAAGAATGTCTTTAAAATCTTTCACAGTTATCTTAGGAAAGAAAAAGGAATGTTTAAATGTTGTGGACGTTACGTAACGTCCGTGACAGAACTTGCCTTTGATATATCTACTTTTAAAAAAAAAGTTCAGGTGAAATTTATATCTCTTATGTATTTATTCCATTAGAAGATTTTTTCTGATACAAGTGTTTGCAGCCCTTCATATTTTTAAAGTTTGATGCAGCAGGTTAAAATGTACACTCTTGCCCATTGTCTTTCATAAAAAAAAAAACACTTCCTTTGGAGACCCCCCCGAATACATGGTTGTCACAAGGGAGCTGGAATTTATTTTTCTGTGTGCTGTAACTTGTCAGCATCGTAACACAGAGTATAATTTCAAGTCTGTAACAATAGGATTGTGTTACATCAGGTGACCTTACGCAAGCGACACGTGTGTGAAACAACCCAGCGAAGGCCGTAGTAAAGTCTCGTGTCTTGTCGTTTATAGTCTTGCGGCTCGTTACATGGTGTCAGAAGTGAGATTCGTCGAACAAAATGCCAGATGAAACACTTGGAACGCCCAGCACAAGCGCTGCCGCGGAACGATCGATCTCTCAGCTCAAACCGCCCAGCAATTTGGATTTCGGAAATCCCAGTGAGCTCTCACATGCCTGGAAAAGATGGAGGATTAGCCTCAACCTGTAATTTTACCACCCTGCGGGGAGTCACTGGTCCGTGACCGAATTATCTGTGGAATTCGTGACTCAAAGCTTAGAGAGGATCTTTTGAAAGTTGCCGACTTGGATCTTGATAAGTGCGTCAATGCCCGTCGAGCCTCCGAATTATCGAAAGAAAGGAACAGAGCAATTGAGGCAACGTCAGAAATAGTCCACTATCTCACTAGCGGAAACAAAAGAGAAGAGAAAAGAGAAAAGAGATCAGGGCGGCAGAGATGACAAAGATGAGAACCGGAAATTAATCCGAAAATGCAAATTCTGTGGACGACAACATCGGCGAGGAAATTGCCCAGCATATGGTGTAGAATGTCAAAAGTGCCACAAATCAAATCATTTCGCCTCCGTTTGCATGTCTAGGAGGCCAAAACCAGTCCACACTGTGGAAAGCGATGACGACTATGATGAAATCAAAACAGTAGAGTTGAACCCCGTTGACGAGATTAACGCCGTGGCAGTACGTAAATTTCCGAAGCGCCTTTTCGCAACGATAAATGTGGGCAAGCTCGATAGTGGAGCCTCATGCAACGTCGTCTCGGCGAAAACCCTCGAAAATTGCTTGGGTGAAGTTGAACTAAAGAAGACAACCAAAAGGCTTTCCATGTACAACCACACCACGGTGCAACCATTGGGACTTTGTCAGCTGGAACTCTGCAATACCAAAAATGGGAATGTGTATCAAGTGGAATTCACAGTCCTAAGGCAAGATTGCACTCCCCTTCTTGGGAGCGAAATCACACAAGAAATGGACCTCATTCAAGTACGTTTTGAAAACATTCTGTCCTTAGATCTTAGCTCAGAGGACAAGCCACTTGCCAAAGAATCGCTTATTGCAAAGTTTCCGGATGTCTTCAATGGTACAGGTAAGCTTCATGGCTCGTACCAACTGGAAATTGAAGCAGATGCTATCCCTGTTGTTCACCCTCCAAGAAAAGTTCCCATAGCCATTAAGCCTCAGCTCAAAGAGGAATTGGAACGATTGCACAAGCTCGGAATCCTAGCACCTGTCACAGAACCTACTCCCTGGGTTTCTAGCATGGTTGTAGTAAAGAAGCCTAATGGTACCTTGCGTATTGGCATAGATCCGAAGGACCTAATCAAAAACGTGAAACGCAGTCATTACCCATTACCCACCATTGATGATATCCTGCCAGACCTCAGCCGTGCCAAAGTCTTCAGCACATTTGATGTCAAGAACGGTTTCTGGCACATCGAACTCGATGAAGAAAGTTCGAAACTCACCACATTCAATACGCCCTTTGGAAGGTACCGTTGGCTACGGTTACCCTTTGGCCTCTCCTCTGCTCCAGAGGAATTCCAAAGACGCCAACACCAGGTGATCGAAGGTCTTCCTGGAGTGTTGTCGATACATGACGATATTCTGGTCTATGGTGAAGGCGATACCTACGCAGACGCGCACCAAGATCACGATAGAAAGCTGAAAAACCTCATGAAAAGGTGCCAGGAACGCAATGTGAAACTCAACAAAGAGAAGATGAAACTCCGGCGCAACGAAGTACCTTACATTGGTCACGTTCTCACAGACAAAGGACTCAAACCTGACCCCAGCAAAATCCAGGCGATGTTGGAAATGCTCAAGCCAACGGATGTGGCCGGAGTGCAGAGACTAATTGGGTTTGTCAACTACCTCAGCAAATTCCTTCCCCGCCTCAGTGACGTATGCGAACCTCTCAGGAAACTAATGGCCAAGGATGTGGAGTGGCATTGGACGGACCATCAGGATCAAGCCTTCCAAAGGATCCGTCAGTTAGTCACCGAAGCACCAGTATTGAAATACTACGAGCCAATGGAAGAACTCACCCTCCAAAGCAATGCCTCACAAACAGGTCTAGGTGCAGTACTCACTCAAAACGGCCAGCCCCTTGCATTTGCCAGTAGAGCCTTGTCAGACACCGAGACCAGATATGCCCAAATGGAGAAGGAGCTCTTGTCAGTGGTTTTTGGGTTAGAGAAATTCCATCAGTACACATATGGCCGAAAAGTTACGGTACAAACTGACCACAAACCGCTTGAAGCCATCGTAAAGAAGCCTCTCCACATGGCCCCGAAACGACTCCAGCGCCTGCTACTACGATTGCTAGTATATGATGTTATCCTCACTTATAGATGTGCCGTCAAATACAGCTAGCAGATACGCTTAGTAGAGCATACTTGCCGCTCACCAATGCGACACCGTTCGAGATGAAAGTTCAAAGTGTAAACATGGTCCAAGATTTGCCGCTCGCAGCAGCGAGACTGGATGATGTCCAAGCCCACACTGCCAAGGATGACACCTTACAAGTGCTAACCAGAGTCATCCTGGAAGGCTGGCCAGAAGACAAAACTGCCATTTCTGCTGCAGCAATGCCCTACTTCAGTGTTAGGGACGAGCTTAGCGTCCAAAATGGGATAATCCTCCGTGGAGAAAGGGCACTAATTCCCAAATCACTCAGACATGATATGCTAAGGCGGATCCACATGTCCCACATGGGTGTGGAGGGGTGTCTACGACGGGCAAGAGAGTACGTGTACTGGCCTGCCATGTCCAGTGAGGTGAAGGACTTTATTCTGAAGTGCGACATTTACCTTTCTGTTGACAACAAGCAGCAAAAGGAAACTCTTATTTCCCATGATGTCCCCGACCGTCCGTGGGCCAAAGTGGGGGTTGATTTGTTCACGTTCAACCAGACCAACTACCTGATAATCGTGGATTACTTCGCTGGGTTCTGGGAGATCGACCCTCTAGAAAACACTACAGCCAGTCACATAATCAGAAAGATGAAGATGCAGTTTGCCCGACATGGTATTCCCGATGTCTGTGTTTCAGACAATGGCCCACAATTTACAGCTCATGAGTACAAGAAGTTCAGCAAGCAATGGAAATTTGAGGTAGTCACGACTTCACCGAGATACCCCAAAAGCAATGGAAAAGTTGAAAATGCTGTCGGAGCAGCCAAATGACTAATGAAAAAAAAGAAGAAGAATTCATCCGATGCTTACCTTGCTCTCCTCGACTACCACAATACGTCAACACAAGGCTTAGATACCAATCCAGCCCAGCGACTGATGAGCCGCCGAACGAAAACCCTCCTGCCAACAACAAAAAATCTGCTGGTTCCTGAAGTAACCATGGGGCAGCATCAGAAGATTCTGGCCAACAAGCAAAATACTACAACAACGCAGCTCATGATCTCCCCGCGTTGATCTCAGGAGACGTTGTCAGAGTGAATCTCTCCCCTGACAGCCTCAAACAAGAAGACCTGCAGAAGGCACAAGTCAAGGCCAAGGTCGGGGTCAGGAGCTACGAGGTAGAAACAGAAGACGGCAAAAGATTTCGACGCAATCGCATTCACCTAAGGAAATCAAATGAGACCTTCAGCACTCGCCAACCGGCGGGGAAGTCGTCATTTGGCTATGTTCCAGCAGCGTCAACAGCCAACCCTCTGGGCTCCGTCACCCCACCTATCGATCTTGTCGCTGATCAGTCGCCAGTCGGACCAGCTCCAATTCATACCACAGATCCGCTGAAATTCCAGTGAGGTAGTTACTACGCTGCCAAATGACAGTCCTTACCGCACCCGGCACGGCCGTGAGATCAAGCGACCGAAGCATCTAAGAGACTATGTCTAGATAGAGATATAAAACAATGTTTGAGTTTGAACTTAATTTAAGTTTAGGTTATGTCATGACGGAGACAGACACTAATTGACTGCAAAGCCAGTTTAGTTTAGTTGTTTTGTTTGTTTTCATATTTTGGTTCATGTTGTTGTTCTCTAAAGGGGAAAATATGTAACAATAGGATTGTGTTACATCAGGTGACCTTACGCAAGCGACACGTGTGTGAAACAACCCAGCGAAGGCCGAAGTAAAGTCTCGTGTCTTGTCGTTTATAGTCTTGTGGCTCGTTACAAAGTCCAACTTGTTTTTAAAAACCTGGATTTTGACACCACTTGCGTGG